AATAATAGACAGACTGGGATACCAAAGTTCCATATTTCAGAAGTGGAGCACGGGCAAGTGATAAGGTTTAGCATTCAACCAGTGAGAGGGGGTAAAATTGACAGAGGGTAGAGCAGGGGTCAAAGTTCCAGGAGAAGATGAAGTCAGGGAAAGCGGGGACAGAGTGTTAGGCAGGTCATCCACATAGACACTTAGAGCATTCGGAAGGTAACAGGACTTAGAAAAAAAAGGACATCGATAAGCTAGGCACCAAAGCCTAAGCCTAACGTAACTGAGATCCCAGAAGGCTGGAAGATTTATGGTGTTATGAGTTAGCCAGACATTATAAGCCTCAAAGGAGAAGAGATTTTTATAAGAAGATGGGAGAGTAATGGTTTAGAATAGATACTGAGGAGCCAGGAGAATGCCAATACCCCTGCACCCTAACCCCATTTGAAAGGGCAAGGCAGCTTCTACTCCAGAGGGCTACAGGGTAAGATTTTCTCAGGGAAAAAACAAGGTTAGTATAAAAAAATAATGTGAGAACTGTTCTGTGAAAAGGTTGGGTGTATCTAGGTTAAAAGAAAAGGACAACAGAGGGAAACTACCTCAACATGATAAAAGCTATATATGATAGGCCCACATCTGACATCATACTCAATGGTGAAAAACAGAAAGCTCTTCCTCTAAATCAGCAACAAGACAAAGATGCCCACTCTATAACCAATTCTATTCAACATAGTAAAGGAAGTCCTATCCAGAGCAATTAAGCAAGAAAAAGAAATAAAAGGCATGCAAAATTGGAAAGGAAGAAGTAAAATTATCTCTATTCACAGATGACATGAACTTATATGTAGGAAACCCTAAAGATTCTATACACAAAAAACTGTTAGAACTAATAAACAAATTCAGCAAAGATACAGGATACAAAACACACAAAAATCAATTGTAAATCCTTACAAATAAATTTAACCAAGGAGGTGAAATACTTATATACCAAAAACTATAAAACATGGCTGAAAATTAAAGACCAATTAATTGGGAAAACATTCCATGTTCATAGATTGGAAGACTTAATATTGTTAAAATATCCATATTACAAAGCAATCTACAGATTCAGTGCAATACCTATCAAAATCCCAATGACATTTTTTGCAAAAATTGAAAAAAACAGTCCTAAAATTCATATGGAATCTCAAGGGACCCCAAATAGCCAAAGCAATCTTGAAAAAGAACAAAGTTGGAGGCCTCATACTTCCTGATTTTAAAACATAATACAAACCTACAGTAATCAAAACAGTGTTATACTGGCATAAAGACAGACATATAGACTAATGGAACAGAAAAAAGAGCCCAGAAATAAATCCTCATATATATATGCTCAAATAATCTTCAACAGGATGCCAAGACCACACACTGGGGAAAGGACAGTCTCTTCAACAAATGGTGTTGGCGGGGGGAGTGGGGAGGCAAGGGCAACATACATAACCTAAACGTCTGTACCCCCATAATATGCTGAAATAAAAATAAATAAATAAATAAAAATGGTGTTGGGAAAACTAGACACATGATAGACACATGCAAAAGAATGAAGCTGAACCCCTACCTTATAGCATATATAGAAATTAAAATCAGTTAAAGACCTAAATGTAAGACCTAAAACTATAAAACTCCTAGAAGAAAACTTATATAAAAGCTTCACAACATTGGATTTAGCAATGATTTCTTGGATATGACACCAAAGATAGAGGCAACAAAAGCAAAAATAGCCAAATGGGACTTCATAAAATTTAATAACTTTTGTGCATCAAAGAACACAATCAATAGTCTGAAAAGGAAACCTAAGAAATGGGAGAAAACATTTGCAAATTATATATCTCACAAGGGGTTAATATCTGGAATCTATAAAGAACTCCTACAAGTCAACAACTACAAAAAAAAAAACTTGATAAAAAATGGGCAGAGGACTTGAACAGACATTTCTCCACAGATTTTCAAATGGCCAACGAGCCTATGAAAAGATGCTCAACTTCACTCATCATTAGAGAAACCCAAATCCAAACCAAAATGAGATACCACCTCACACCCACCGTAATGACCACTATCAAAAAAACAGAAAATAACAAGTGTTGGTGAGGATGTGGAGAAACTGGAACCCTTGAGCACCGCTGTTGGTATTGTAAGATGATGCAGCTGACATGAAAAACAGTACAAAGGTGATATCTAACAATGTTTTGTGATCCTAAATGTCTCAAAATGGAGTCACTTATGACAAGTGACTCAGCCCACAGTGAAATTGCTGACCCCGCAAAGTGATAAACATATATATAATGGACTGAGGTGGTATGATAACACCTGCTGGCCAGGCACCCCCGAGACTCAACAAAGAAGTGAAGCCAGTAGGTACCTGAGATAATTACCATGGACACTCCTGCGGAGGGCCACAAAAATAACAAAGAAACTGGCCACGGCCAAGATGCCTGCAGAAGCTCCACTCCTGAGAACTCTGAGGCCTCCTCTCGATATATGGGTAGCAGCTGCTGGAAGCTCTGCCAGAGTAGAACAGCAACACCCTCCCAAACCCTCTACCCCACAACTGGTTGGCATTTGGAGGGAAATTTGGACCCACATGTTTCCTCTGTCAGCATGCTAGTCTCCTGAGCTACTCATTATGGTTTGTTCCCCACTCCACCCCCATCTCTTATTACTGCCTATGTATGTATGGGAATGGGTAGTTGTTGTTCAGTGGGTACAGAGTTTCAGTTTTGCGAGATGAAAAAGTTCTAGAGAACTGTTGCATAACGGTGTCAATATACTTAACATTACTGAACTGTACACTTACAAATGGTTAAGGTAGAAAATTTTATGTTGTGTATTTTTTACCATAATTTTTTAAAAATGATAAATAGTATACCCAATCATGCAGGAAAAAAGTTTGAGGGAAAAAAAAGAGCAGCAGGACGAAGGGAGTTTGCATTTTGGGCAGTAATCTTGAATGTCAGAGCAAAATGAGGCCTCCAGGCTCCTACCAACTTCTGGTTCAAGCTGTTTCAGATCCAGTTTAGAAAAACGCCTCCATTAGTGCTGGAGTCTTAATAGGCCTTTAAGTCTCAAGACTACATGGGCAAGAAATTATTATGATACCTCTAAAGACATCCTGCACAGGGGACACAGTCAGTTCCTGAGATCTTCACCTAGTCATAGAAACAGCAGTAATCCTCAGGAAGTGAGAAGTTCTCCCGACTGAGCTAGCCATGGCCTAAACTGAACACTCCCACAAAGGAGGGATAGTCCTCATTTCCTTGAGGACTCAAGTGTAGATAGAAAAAGGAGAAACCAAAACAAACATTACATGCTTCATTTTTTAAAATATCTCCTCTACCCCTTTCTTATATGACAAACTTTAAGCTTCTAAGGTCTGTTCTTTAGATGCTAGCTAATGGAATCTGAGTACTTGGCCTTGAGAATACTTAGAAAACGGGAATAGGTTCCAACTTCTCTACAGCTGCAAAAAAAGCAGACACCAAGCTGCATTGTAAAGTTATTTCTGACAGTGGTGAATTAACAAGGCTCACAAAACATCAGTATGAATTTCCTTTGCAAGGTGGAGACTTCCAGTACAGAGTATAACTGTTCTGTTTTCTGTTTAACAGTCATTTAAAACACCTGAATTTGAGTGTTCCTACTTATTTAAGATGTATGCCTGAATCCCCAAAAGACTGCAATTTGATTTGATGTCTTTATAATCTGTA